CCGTGAAGGAGCCGTGTCCCAGCCTCTCCGCAGACCTGGGTCCCAGGGACAAGGATGTGAACTTGAGTGGAGACCCGAATGCTGGCGGGGCAGAGTTGGGGTGGGTGTCCATGAGTGCCGTGAGTGACAGGGAGGGCGGCCCTGCGCCACGCCTTTTCCATTCGCAGGAGGACGGGCTGATTTGGAAGTAGGTCGCCAGGCCTTTCTTCCTGCTTCCCTTAGCTGGGAGTTTCACTGAAATCTGTTCAGCATGGGGCAGCATGCATGCCCCCCGCCATAGGCGGGAGATTGGTGGGGGGCTGTGCCCAAGGTGCTTTGTGGGCCCCCAGCCCTGCTCACTTGTTCTGTCTCCATGTCTCCCCCTCCCCGCAGCCATTGAAGAGTACAAGCCCCAGGATGCCACCACCAACCCCTCCCTGATCCTGGCCGCAGCCCAGATGCCTGCCTACCAGGGCCTGGTGGAGGAGGCCATGGCCTACGGCAAGAAGCTGGGCGGGTGCGTGGCAGCCTTGCCCTGAGGGAGAGGAGGCTTGGCCTTCATTCAGGAGCTGCTCCACACTGCCCCTGGTGGGCCTACACCAGGCAGTGGTCAGGGTTACCCTGTACAGCACCCTAAGTGCCACGCCCTGTGTACAGCCCAGCAGACCCAACCCATCCGCTCATGGTAGCAGCCTCAACAAAGCACGCACCCCAGCAGTCCGCTGGGCCTATGCACACCACCCTGAAGGGCAGAGTAGGACTGCCCTGCCCTGCGAGTCCCGCTGACCTTTTGGTGACCAGCCCAGCGATCAGTCACTGTGCCAGCAGGGCCTTCCTGGGGCAGGACCACCTGGGCTGAGGCCTAACACAGCCATCACCAGACCCCATGCCTCTGGACGGTTCCTGGGGGCCTTCCCGTAGCTTTGACCTTGGGGCCTCCTGTCCCAGTGACAGTCGGTGGGGTCCTCTCCCCCCCCTGCACCCCTCCTCTTCTTACATCCTGCCTGGGGGCAGGTGAGAAGGATAGGAGAGCAGTGTTGGTGGGTGCAGGGCATGGGGGACAGGGTGCCCACAGCCCCTCGAGGCTAACACTGCTGCCCGCCCTGGATGTCAGGACAAAGGAGGAGCAGATCACAAACGCCATCGACAAGCTGTTCGTGCTGTTTGGAGCCGAAATCCTGAAGAAGATCCCTGGGCGTGTCTCGACAGAAGTGGACGCCAGGTGCGAGGTCCTCCCGCTGCACCGGGGAGCTCTGGGTGTGTCTGTGGGGGGTTATTGGGAGTGTAGTCCCTAGAATGCACTGCAGCTGACGAGCCCTGTGGGCAGTGCGGTCAGGGAGGGTGGCACCTGGGGCACTATCCCTGACAGGCCTGTCCTGGCCAGGCTTTCCTTTGACAAGGACGCCATGGTGGCGCGGGCCCTGCGTCTCATGGAGCTCTACAAGGACGCCGGCGTCGGCAAGGAGCGGGTCCTTATAAAGCTCGCATCCACGTGGGAGGGCATTCAGGCTGGCAAGTAAGTGTCCCCAGGAGCCACGGGGAGGCGGCAGCTCCCTGCCCCAGCCCGCCCCTGATGCTGCCCATCCCCGCAGGGAGCTGGAGGAGCGGCATGGCGTCCACTGCAACCTGACGCTGCTCTTCTCCTTCGCCCAGGCCGTGGCCTGCGCCGAGGCGGGAGTCACGCTCATCTCCCCCTTCGTGGGCCGCATCCTGGACTGGCACGTGGCCAACACGAGCCAGAAGTCCTACGAGCCGCTGGAGGACCCTGGTGCGCCTGCTCCCGGGGGCCGTGGGGGTGGGGAACCAAGGAGGGGCCAGGGGCCTGGCTGATTAAGTTCCACTCACGCGGCAGGGGTGAAGAGCGTCACCAAGATCTACAACTACTACAAGAAGTTCGGCTACAAGACCATCGTGATGGGCGCCTCCTTCCGCAACACGGGCGAGGTCAAGGCGCTGGCCGGCTGTGACTTCCTCACCATCTCACCCAAGTTACTGGGCGAGCTGCTCAAGGACACCAGCACGCTGGCACCCAATCTCTCAGCCAAGGCTGGTGAGCCGCACCACCGGGGCGTGTGGGGAGGAGGGGGCAGGCAGGGCGGGAATGGGGCATAGAGTGAGGCCTGTACGCCCCCAGCCCAGTCCAGTGACCTGGAGAAGGTGCACCTGGACGAGAAGGCCTTCCGCTGGCTGCACAACGAGGACCAGATGGCCGTGGAGAAGCTCTCGGACGGCATCCGCAAGTTTGCTGCCGATGCCAGGAAGCTGGAGTGCGTGCTCACGGTGCGTGCCCGTGTGTGCGCCCAGGTCTGCCTGCGTCTGCATGGCAGCTCCCCTCCTGTCTGCACGTCTTCCCCTATGTCAGCTTGCATGCACACGCCTGCCTGTGTGTGTGTACGTGCCCGAGTGTCTGGCCCTCATGCCCCCTCTCCTTGCAGGAGCGTATGTTCAGCGCAGAGAATGGGAAGTAGGCGGCGTGGTGCAGACCCGCGGGGTTGAGGACCCGTGGACGAATGGTGGACGAATCTTGCATTTTCTACTGATTGGAGTGGGGACAGATCACAGATTTCTGGTTTTTATGCGAAATTTTGCCTGGTGCAATTAAAGCTGCCTCTTTACTGTGCTGTGTCTGTTCTACCCCCCCTCCCCCGCTTGAACACACATACAGTCACCACCCTCAGCCGCACACAGAGATGGGGGCTGGGAGGGGCAGGGAGCTTCCACGTGGAAATAGCCCAAGGAGCTTGTGCTGGAGAGTGGGTGGGGCCACAGGTCCTCAACATCTCGCCTAAGCTGCTCTCCACAGGCAAGGTGGCTGGGTGCCCAGGCCATGCTGGGATGGCCCTGTCCAGATCTGGCCACTAGGTGGCAGCCTCCTAGTGCCCAGGAGGACACTTCCCGGGAGGAGCCAGCAACAAGTTCCAGCCTGGGGGGGAGGCCCTCCCCCTGAAGGGAGCCAACTCCTGGCCTTCCTGTTCCCAGCCTGGAAACAGATGTGGCCAACCAACAAACCCAGCCCTCCAGGTGCGCCCTCCACCGGAACTGCCGCTGGGCTCACACTGCTGACCTTGTGGGCAGCAGCCCATCACTGGGGTCCTTTCTCCAACTGTGGCATCTTGGCTTCTCATGCACAGCAGAGTGGTTCTGAGTGCCTCGGGGGTGGGGGTGCTATTAAATGGTGCTGGCACCAGCTGTCCCTGCTGTGAGTACATAAGCATGGGGGGACACTTGTGGCACATGGGGCTGCTGCCCACAACATGGCATGGAGGCTTTTATTTCTCTTAGCCAGATACAGGGATGTTTCTTAATCAGCCCTGGGGAACAGCTGTCCACTGCCCCAGCCCCTTCAGACTCCAGCTGCTGCCTCCCCACAGGGCCTCAGGAAGAGACCAGGCAGTACTTGGCCCCTGGAAGCAGGGCTGTGGGGACTGGGTCAGCACCGTCCGCCCTGAGATGTGACCTTTTCTGAGTAGGGCCTGTCACCACGGTGGTGACCTGGCATGGAACTAGCCAGAGCATGCCGAGGAGAGGGGCCGGGGCTTCCTGGCCAGGCAGGTCTCAGCTAATGGTGCATGGGCAGCGAGAGGAAGGACCGAGCGTAGGGCTAGGTGGGGCCAGGCTTCTCTGGAGACCACCAGCTGACCCCGTGCCTTGCACCATGGTTAGTCTGGAGGGCGGTGTGGCTGAGCAGCAGTGCCCACAGGTCAGTCCCCTACAACGCCCCCACCATCCAATGAACCAGGACGAAGACGCTGCTTCAGCCAGGACCTCGGCAGGCAGTCTGAGCTGGGGGGTGGCCCCTCACTACTTCCTCAAGAGGACATGTCCTGATGACCAGGTGCACGGTCATGCTGGTCCCCACGGCTCTGGCTGGGCTCCCCCAGCGCCCGACTCCCATCACACTGATCGGCCTTGGTGGGGTGCCCCTGTCAGTCCTTGACTCCTTTGGGCAAGGAGGGCTCAGCCTGCGGTGGGGCTCCTGGCGGGGGCGCAGTCCCTCACTTGCGGCTGCTGCAGAGGAAGAGCAGGTTCTGCACCGCCACCACGGTGGAGTTGGCATTCTGGCCAGTAACCAGATGACGATCCAACACCACGTGTACGGCGCCCGGTTCGCTGGCTGTGGGTCATGGGCAGAGGTCAGGCAGGTAGCCCCCAGGACCGTCCGCAGCCACCCACCCTGCCCACTCCAGGTGCCAACGGGAGGGTTAGGGCCTATGACCATAAGCAGGGGCTCTGGGCTCACCGCTGAAGCTGGCGCCTGCATCCTTGGCGAAGTCCTCCACGATCAGGGGCAGGCGGGCAAAGCCGGGTGCTCGGATCAGCTCATACACTGAGGGCTGCAGCGTGGGCACTACTGCTTCACCTGCCCAGCGGGCAACCCGCCTGGACAACTGACGGCTGCAGGGCACCCTGCCCACAACCCCTGAAGCCTCCACAGCCCCTCCACCCATGTACCACTCGGAAACCACAGCCCCTCCCACCCACACCATGTGACCCACCACAGCCCCTCCCACCCACACCACATGGTGGGCCCTGTCCTCAGAGGGGACAGGCAGATGGTGAGGGCGTCCCAGACCCTACTGTGCCGGCTGCGCCCCCACCGCGGGTCCGATGGGCTCACCCCAGTCATGCTGTAGTTCTGGAATGCCCACGCGCCGTCCTCGCTGGTGGCACAGCACAGGGCGGCCACGCCGTGGCCCACAGCACAGATGGGCTCTGAAGGGGTCACAAGGCTGAGCGCTGACCTGCCAGCTGGCCCAGATGCCCCCACACAGCCTCCCAGCCCTGCACCATCCTCAGGACCCACCCACCCCCGCCCCCACCTGGCCAGCCAGAAAGGTGCCTGCGACGTGCCTCTACAGGCCGTCCTCTCAGGTGTTGGGGCCAAGGAGTCATGAGGGTCCAGCCCCACAGGCCACGCTGGTAGGTGCAGCAAGGAGCACCCCATCCTTGGACCACGGCAGACACTGTCCCTACACTCAGGCCCTCCTGTGCTGAGATACCCACTGCCTCCTGCCTCCTGGGAGCTCCGAGCCCAGAGCCGGCCCTGGTGCCCACCACGGACACACACACTGCCTGCTCATCACCTGGTCCATCCTCCAGGGACGCTGCCTCGGGCCAAGCCCCAGGGCTGAGACAGCAGTAGCCTGTTGGGGTCGGGAGGCCCTGCTCAGGGAAAGAGGTTCTCCTGGGAGTAGCATCTGGAGACTGCCAAGTCCCCACACAGCGGCCCCTCGCTGGCCTCTCTGACTCTGGCCCTGACCCAAACCACAGAATGCAATCCCCACAGCAACCAGGCTGGGCACAAGCCGAGGGCACAGTGCTGAGGGGGGTCACATGCTTACATGAGGTGGCACAGGAGCGAGGGTGACACGGGAGAGAGTGACACAGGAGAGGGAGACAGGCAGGTGACCGGCTCACCCATGCCCCATGTACCTGGGGACCAACTCCCATGAGATGACCCAGCAGCCCTGGGTCCCACAATTGCCACCCTGACCCCAGACACCCACTTCTCCCCACATCCCCGGTTCACTCACTGCTCTCGGAGCGGAAATGCTGCAGGATACGGGCCAGGGACCCGCTGCTGGCCAGGTCAGCCAGGGCCCCAGGACAGCTGGGGATGAGGAGGGCATGGTACCGGGCCCCTGGGAGACACACAGGGCAGCCACCCTCAGGGCCTGCGGGCCGACGATCTGAGTGGCCCTACCTGGCCTCCCCGCGGAGTGAGGAGATGGAGGTGATTTTGGTGGGGGGTGGGGACGTGGACAACTCACCGTCGATAGACTCAAGCTTGGCGGGACTGGCGTAGGACCTGAGGCGGAAGTCCTGGACCCAGCGGGCACTACTCTCGTCCATGTCCACAAAGTCCATGGCCTTCCCCTGTGGACACAGACACGCAGGAATGCTGCCAGAAGTCCCTAGAGCAGCAGTTCTCAACCTGCGGGTCACGACCACTTTGGGGGTTGAACAACCCTTTCGCAGGGGTCGCCCAATTCATAACAATAGCAAAATGACAGTTATGAAGTAGCAAGGAAAATACTTTTATGGTTGGGGGGTCACCACCACACGAGGAACTGTAAGAAAGGGTCTCAGCATGAGGAAGGTTGAGAACCACTGCAGTAGAGTGACTACCTCGGAGGGGCCACCGTCCCCAGGGCCAGCACACTGCCAAGAGGATCCATAGGTGCTGACCGCAGCAAAAGATTGGCCCTGTCATGGGCAGGGTCAGAACTGGGGAGTCTCAGACTACACGAGGGGAAGCAGCGTGGAGCTGGCTGCAGTGGTGGCCCCCAACTTACCCCTGGAGTGGCAACCTGCAAATTGAAGGCTGCACTGGCCAGCGAGAAACAGTGCAGGAACGATGGGGCAGACACACCTGTGAACGGACAAGGGCGACCGTGGCACAGAGCTCCACATTCCACCCTGACCCCCACCCATGAGGACTGCTCCAGGGGCCCCTGAGGCCCGGGGAACAGGGGCAGTGGCTGGTAGCAGGAGGCCAAGGCTTGGAGGTTGTGGGATATCACAGGGGAAGGTGGACCCTCGGGATACCAGCCAGCTCGCTCCACACCCCACACCATGAGAGGTCTTCAGAAGGGAACCCCCTGGTTCCAGCCAGCCCCTGACCATCAACTGGGGACAGGAGGTGGGTGGAGATGAGCTATACGTGCCCACCTGGAGCAAACACATGTCAGTGGGTGTGAGTGTGACCTGGGTCACCGCCTCTCAGTGACAGGGAACAACTAAGACTTCTTTTCTTCAAAGAGGAGCCACTTGATTCTGTCCTGCCCCAGGGTAAACCACCCTGCCATCTGGGCTCTGGAAGGCACTCCCTGAGCCTCTGGAAGCTCAGGGCCCCGTCCATGGTGGGCACAGCACCCGGCCCCCATGGGGGCCTCTTCACAGCAGTGTCATGTCCCGACATCCCCACCCCTGGGCCCAGCACCCTCACTCCCACTGCCAACCTGCCTTCAGTCCCATCTCCAGGAAGCTCTCCACAGCACCCAATCTCCAAGGCTCCATTGGGACTCTAGTGCCAGTGGGGAGCTGAGGTAGCGCCCCCTCCACCCTGGAGGGGTGGTGGTGGTATTGTGTGTGTGTGTGTGTGTGTAAGGGGGGGAGTGCATGGGCTGTGAGGGGAGTGGGTGTGGATGTGAGCTGTGAGCCCCTGCCCATCCAGGTCCTCACCTCCTAGTGACAGCCTGGCCAAGACTTGGCCTCCTGGTCTACCACCCAAGGAGTGCACGACCTGGACGCGCACACGGCCAGAGCAGCTGCCCCAGGCTAGACACCCGAACATCCACCCTCCTGGGCGCACCCACCCTCTGCCACTGTCCCCGATGGGGCTCGGGTCAGGGCCAGGGTCCCAGCACAGAGGTGGACGAGGCCAGCGCTGGCCCTTCCATCCGAGGCCGAATGACAACCCCGGCTGCTGGCTGCGCCCCAACCCCGGGCCTCGAGCTTCGGTCAGCTGCCACCGCCACCACCCAGGAGCCGGCTCGTCCTCCCAAGCAGGTCCCGGAGACGGCCCGGCAGCGCCGCAGCCCGCGCCCCGCGAGGACCCAGAGGGGCCCCGGGCCCGCGGAGTGTCAGCTGAGTCAGGCCCCGCCCGGGCGAGGCGCGGCCCCC